TATTTATACCCCCTTAGGGTGTAAGAGGTTAAATGTATCAGAGACAAAACATTTTATGATTGAATAAACTTAACTTTTTTAAATATTCCTAGAGCATGGCGAATCCACATGATTTTGGCTTTTAGAAGCCTGAATTAAAACGATGTTCTCACCAAAAAATAAAACACTTTTTTTTTTCAAATACCTATCCTTTTTATTGAAGTTCCTGTTAGGGTCAATAAAACAGATTTCAATTAAATTCAACATTTCTGTCAATAAGAGTCAGAAAATTATCAAACAAAAAGAGTGGATTTATATTTTATAATGGATTTATATTTTATTTATATCCATATTTTTCTGTTGCACCAGAAGTCCTAACTAGTTATTTAAATTGAACCTTTAAATATCAATTCCAACTCCCTAACAGCCTAACTGTCTGGTTATTTATCAGGAAAAGACAGTAGAGCACCTGATAAAAAACTAGGCTTAGATTATGTCAGCGTTTTTTTCTGTGTTTCCACAGCTGTGTCGTCTCAATAGTTTGTAAAAAAAAAAAGCCGCCCAAAAAAGATATGAAACAGCTGTATGCAGAGTCTTCAGACTTTATGGAGACTGGAAATATATATTATAAAGCTGGGATGGAGAGACTGACTGTTCTGTTGACTTCTTTCTACAACATCTGTTTTACCCCAACTAAAAATGACACTAAGGCATATGTTCATCCTTTAACAACCAGTTTATATGTATGACAACATTATAAGAAAATGATGGCATCTCAATAGGATAAAACTGCTTCTGTAGCGTATCTGCAGGATTACGATCGTCCAACATACCGACATCTGCCTGAATGTAACTATTAATTCTAACTTAATAAAACAGCAGACGGCAGCAGGTCCTTGTTTACTGCTTAACAACGGAGTAGCCATTGTCATGGATACCCTGAGCTTAAGCACCACTTGTTGTGCCACCAGGAGGCTGACGAGCTGTCATTAGCATTACTGCATAGCTGTTACATGGTTCAACTGGATGATCTGTGGTTCTATGGCTTAAACTAAACAGATAATTTAGTCTCTATGATGAAATGATCATGTTAGAGACAGAAGAAGCTAAGTTAAACATAGCTAAATATAACTTAGTGGCTTACAACAACAAGTGTTGATGCATTTCTTTGATAAAGGGAAGGAATGACTCACTGAAGGTGTCATTTGAAATGTCGGTGCAAATGAGTATGTTTTTTTGCCATCATGTCACAGATTTATATACCTCAACTTACTTTTTGGTAACATGAAACTCCTTTCTAAAGAAAAATGTAATTTGAACATTATTTAATATAATATGTTAATATTATATTAAATTAATATGTTGGTTTGGAGGCTGATGTGCTCCCAAGTGAAGTGCTTTAATGTAACTTGAATTTTCTTTCAACAGAGTTTGAAAAGCAGAGAAAGATCCTGTAAGGCTCATCGGCTTTTAGGTTCATTATTTTGCTTGTGTGAAATGGAGGTGCAAAAGTCAAACTACTCTCAGCTGTTAAAAAGCAAACTGATGATTCAATCATAAATATACAATGAAAGGTTTATGTGTTCACATATCAAATAAAACAAAAAAGCAGAACTTGAGGAGGTGTGTGACGAGAGAGAAGTCTGGGAGTCTGCTGAGACTGCTGCCCTTGTGACCCGGTTCAGGATAAAGCAAAGACGACGACATTAAATTAAAATCAGTCCATTTATCTAACTTTACTGATCACTTGTTTTCATTTATTCCTGTTATATTTATAATGAACTGAATGACACATTGTTAAACTTTTAGCCACTAGGAACGCTAGATGTATTAACTTCCACATTTAGCGCCCCCTGAAGGCAACTGGCAGCATTAAACTGTCGCAAAATTGAACAGCCTCCCGTTAATAATAATAGTAGCCAAATTTTGACCAGCAGATTGAGAAGTGAAAGAGTTCCTGATAAATTCAAGGGAACATTCACCTCTCGAGATCAAATACTGTATCGGAGAAACAAAAAAAATAAGTCTGATCAGGTAGATTAATGTCTGTTTTGCTGGCTAACAACTTTTAGCTTAGCTATCTCTCGTGTTTGAGCACCTCAGACTGACATCAAGCTGCACTCTGGGTCACATGACTATTCAGCGACATATCTGAGGCCCCGTCCACACGAAGCCGAACCCTGGCCTAAACGCACAAATTTTTC